GGGGGGAGTGTTACTGTTGTTTGCATAGTGAGGTCAGAGGTCATATGACGGTACACTTAATTTTATTGAATCATAACATTTTGAGTTGGTACTGTTATCTAGAGGGTGTAAAAATATTGTACTATACGATAATATACATTGTTCACATGAAATAAAACCTTTATTTGTCGGGAATGTAGGAACTATGGATATTTTTTTTAAAGATAAACAGGGTATTTGATAATGAAGTTGGGCATTAATGATGTAATGCCAATGTCTTAAATGCATTAGCGCGTGTTAGTTTTACTAAATATATGACCGAATCAAGTATAACCGTTCAATGTGTGAAAGAATTGCATTTTATAATTGGACAATGTTTCAAGAATCGATTTGACTGCCTCTTTAGAAATCCTGGGGTATGTTATTTTTGGGGAAATTATCGATGCTAATTATAAATATCGATTATCCTTCACTAGGAATATCGAAGTTCAATCGTGAGCACAACAGATATTCGATAATTTGACGGGAGTATTATGGTATGGCGTTGTCCGTCCGTCCGGCCGGCGTAAACTTTTGTTTGTCCGGCAATCTTCTCCTACATTTTTCAACGGATCGCTTTGAAACTTGGTATACATTATAATCATGATATGAAGTTGTGTCTCCTTTAAAAGATTTTGTTTCAACAATTTTCTCAAAAGTTATTGCCCTTTGTTCATTTCAGTATTTGATTTTTTTGTCCGGAGATCTCCTCCTACATTTTTTGACAGATTTCTTTGAAACTTAAGAGGCTAAATAATCATAATATGTTGTTGTGTTTCCTTGAAAAGAGTTTTGGTTCGACAATTTTTCCAAACGTTATTGCCCTTTGTTCATTTCAGTATTTGATTTTTTTATCTGGAGATTTTCTCCTACAGTTTTATAGCATGTCGGCTTACCACTCTTTGAATGATGTAGATCTTATCTCAATGTAAGAAAGTATTTAACACTATATGGCATTCGGCGGGCGTATATCGTTCCGCCCCGCGGTACTCTTGTTTACTTTAATATATTATCCATTGCATGTAACCGTAGGAGGCAACTGATGAAGAGCTCTATGTAGAATCGAAGGTTTGGTACTGCGTCATGCGCAAAGGGAACATTAAAGAAACCAAAATGGATCTGTTAACCCCATTATGACACTTCGGGATCTACGAATTTTCTCTTCTCACTTCCCTGGTCTTTCATTTGGGCGGTGTCTCCCTAGACATCCATTTTTTAGTCATAGCTGTTGCGAGGACGATAAACCACAACTACACGCATGCATCTTGGACACATGGGAGGCCGTCCTTAAATGACCATAGCTGTTGATAGGACGTTAACAATACTTAACTAGTTAAACCACAAACGATTTAAAATCTTGAATCTATCTACATCGTAACTGACTTGTTTCTTACTGTACATGTTATACAGTAGGTACTATCTTGAGAAGTGTTTGATCTGCTGCTAGTATCTGCCGTATGTACACTTTAAGTTAAAGGTATAACACTTCAGATACTGTGTGTAAACAGTACATCTAATCGACTGTCTCGACTTGTTACATACTCATCTCAGATATATTTGTATTGACGCAGATATGATAATGTACAAATAATGGGTATTACGTGTCGTGCAACGATGGAATATACATTCGTTATAGGTAAGCTTGTTTTCTTTTAAATATAATGGCATCATAAAATATGTATGGTGATGTATTTCCACGGACTTCATAGTCTTTAATCGCTTAAGGAATGTAAAATATACTATATGTACAGAAAACCAAATACTGCAGCGATAATACAAAAACACATGATATACCTTAACGTCAATAAGTAAACACAAACCAGTTTTACACAAATATACCGCAGCGATGATTCACAAACACAGAATATGCCACAGCGTCAACACTAGGATACAAAATATACTAGTTTTAATACACATGTTCACACAAAAATATATTTTTCATAACTGACCGCAAAATATACAGCGTCATTAAAACCCCCAGATAAGATTTAATACATCATACAAGTTAACATGACAACGTTAATACATGAACACAAATCATACATAATGTTATACACAAACACATAATATATCAAAGCCCTAATACATGAACATAAATCATACATAATATCATACACAAACACATAATATATCAAAGCCCTAATACATGAACATAAATCATACTTAATATCATACACAAAAACATGATATATCACAGCGCTAATACATGAACATAAATCATACTTGATATTATACACAAACACATAATATATCACAGCGCTAATACACGAACATGAACACAAATCATACATGATATTATACACAAATACATAATATATCATAGCGCTAATACATGAACATGAACACAAAACATACTTAATAGTATACACAAATAAATAATATATCACAGCGCTAATACATAACCAACAAAACATACTTAATATTATCAACAAATACATAATATATCACAGCGCTAATACATAAACACAAAACATGCTTAATATCATACACAAACACATAATATATCACAGCGCTTATACATGAACACAAAACATACTTAATATCATACGCAAACACATAATATATTACATCTTTAATACATGAACATGAACACAAAACATATTTAACATTATACACAAACACATAATATATCACAGCGAAAATACATGAACACAAATCATACTTAATATCATACACAAACACATAATATATCACAGCGCTAATACATGAACACAAAACACACTTAATATCATACACAAACACATATTATATCACAGCGCTAATACATGAACCCAAATCATACTTTTATCATACAAAAACACATAATATATCACAGCGCTAATACATGAACACAAATTGTACTTAATATTATACACAAACACATAATATATCACAGCGAAAATACATGAACACAAATCATACTTAATATTATACACAAACACATAATATATCACAGCGCTAATACACGAACATGAACACAAATCATACATGATATTATACACAAACACATAATATATCATAGCGCTAACACATGAACATAAATCATACTTTCTATAATACACAAACACATAATATATCACAGCGATAATACACGAGCATGAACACAAATCATACATAATATTATACACAAATACATAATATATCATAGCGCTAATACATGAACATGAACACAAAACATACTTAATAGTATACACAAATAAATAATATATCACAGCGTTAATACATAACCAACAAAACATACTTAATATTATCAACAAATACATAATATATCACAGCACTAATACATAAACACAAAACATGCTTAATATCATACACAAACACATAATATATCACAGCTTTAATACATGAGCACAAAACACACTTAATATTATACACAAACACATACTATATCACAGCGCTAATATATGAACACAAATCATACTTAATATTATACACAAACACATAATATATCACAGCGATAATACATGAACACAAATCATACTTTTATCATACAAAAACACATAATATATCACAGCGCTAATACATGACCACAAATCATACTTAATATTATACACAAACACATAATATATCAATTGTACTTAATATTATACACAAACACATAATATATCACAGCGCTAATACATGAACACAAAACATACTTAATATTATACACAAACACATTCTATATCACAGCGCTAATATATGAACACAAATCATACTTAATATTATACACAAACACATAATATATCACGCTGCTAATACATGAACACAAAACATACTTAATATTATACACAAACACACAATATATCACAGCTTTAATACATGAACATGAACACAAAACATACTTAATATCATACACAAACACATAATATATCACAGCTTTAATACATGAGCACAAAACACACTTAATATTATACACAAACACATACTATATCACAGCGCTAATATATGAACACAAATCATACTTAATAATATCACAGCGCTAATACATGAACAGAAATCATACTTAACATTATACACAAACACACAATATATCACAGCGCTAATACATGACATGAACATAAATCATACTTGATATTATACACAAACACATAATATATAACGGAGCTAATACATGAACACAAATCATACTTATATCATAAACAAACACTTAATATATTACAGCGCTAATACATGAACACAAATTGTACTTAATATTATACACAAACACTTAATATATCACAGCGCTAATACATGAGCACAAATCATACTTAATATTATACACAAACACATAACTTTAATACATGAACATGAACACAAAACATACTTAACATTATACACAAACACATAATATATAACGGCGCTAATACATGAACACAAATCATACTTAATATCATAAACAAACACTTAATATATTACAGCGCTAATACATGAACACAAAACACTCTTAATATCATACACAAACACATATTATATCACAGCGCTAATCCATGAACACAAATCATCCTTTTATCATACAAAAACACATAATATATCACAGCGCTAATACAAGAACACAAATCATACTTAATATAATACACAAACACATAATATATCACAGCGCTAATACAAGAACACAAATCATACTTAATATAATACACAAACACATAATATATCACAGCGCTAATACATGAACACAAAACATACTTAATATTATACACAAACACATACTATATCACAGCGCTAATATATGAACACAAATCATACTTAATAGTATACACAAGCACATAATATATCACAGCGCTAATACATGAACACAAATTGTACTTAATATTATATACAAACACATAATATATCACAGCGCTAATACATGAACACAAAACATACTTAATATCATACACAAACACATCATATATCACAGCGCTAATACATGAGCACAAAACACACTTAATATTATACACAAACACATGCTATATCACAGCGCTAATATATGAACACAAATCATACTTAATATCATACACAAAAGCATGATATATCACAGCGCTAATACATGAACACAAATCATACTTAATATTATACACAAACATATAAAATATCACAGCGTTTATACATGAACATGAACACAAAACAAACTTAATATTATACAAAAACACATGACATATCACAGCGCTTATACATGAACACCAAACATACTTCATATTATACACAAACACATAATGTATCACAGCGCTAATACATGACCTCAAATCATACTTAATATTATACAAAAACACATAATATATCACAACGCTAATACATGAACACAAATCATACTTAATAGTATACACAAGCACATAATATATCACAGCGCTAATACATGACCTCAAACCATACTTAATATTATACAAAAACACATGCCATATCACAGCGCTTATACATGAACATGAACACAAAACATACTTAACATTATACACAAACACATAATATATAACAGCTCTAATACATGAACACAAATCATACTTAATATCATACAAAAACACATAATATATCACAGCGCTAATACATGAACACAAATCAAACTTAATATTATACACAAACACATAATATATCACAGCGCTTATACATGAACATGAACACAAAACAAACTTAATATTATACACAAACACATAATATATCACGGCGCTAATACATCATCACAAAACATACTTAATATTATACACAAACACATAATATATCACAGCGTTTATACATGAACATGAACACAAAACAAACTTATTATTATACACAAACACATAATAAATCACAGCGCTAATACATCAACACAAAATATACTTAATATTATACACAAACACATAATATATCACAGCGCTAATACATGACCACAAATCATGCTTCATATTACACAAAACCACATAATATATCACAGCGTTAATACAAGAACATAAATCATACTTAATATTATACAAAAACAAATAATATATCACAGCTTTAATACATGACCATTAACACAAAACATACTTAACATTATACACAAAAACATATTATATCACAGCGCTAATACATGAACACAAATCATACTTAATATTATACACAAACACACAATATATCACGGCGCTAATACATGAACACAAAATATGCTTAATATCATACACAAACACATAATATATCACAGCGCTAATACACGAACATAAATCATACTTAATATTATACAAAAACACATAATATATCATAGCGCTAATACATGAACACAAATCATACTTAATATTATACAAAAACACATAATATATCACAGCGCTAATACATGAACATAAATCATACTTAATATTATACACAAACACATAATATATCATAGCGCTAATACATGAACATAAATCATACTTAATATCATACACAAACACATAATATATCACAGCGCTAATACATGAACACAAATCATACTTAATATTATACACAAACACATAATATATCACAGCGCTAATACATGAACACAAATCATACTTAATATTATACACAAACACATAATATATCATAGCGCTAATACATGAACATAAATCATACTTAATATTATACACAAACACATAATATATCACAGCGCTAATACATGAACACAAATCATACTTAATATTATACACAAACACATAATATATCATAGCGCTAATACACGAACATGAACACAAAACATACTTAACATTATACACAAACACACATGTATCACAGCGCTAATACATGACCACAAAACAA